GCCATTATATTACCCCATTGTGTGTGCAGCATCAGGCCTAGGGCATAGCATTCCTTAAGTGTTTGTTGATTTGGTTGAAAGATGGACTAGCAGAGAGTGCTTGAGTCCTCAATGTTTAGGGAACAGCTGGCAGGAAGAAGCTGCTTGAGTGGTCTCCAGAGCCAACCACTCAAGAAGGAATATATCTGCTGGCTCTGCACAGGAGGCAAGTGGGAGATGAAGGATAGGCCTCTAAAAAACTGGGTCTCTCTCTAGATCTTTGGGCCAGAAGTGGGACAAGCATCCTTCTTCAACCTAACTGTGAAGGAGATGGTAAAGGATGTACTCAAAGGGCAGAACTGGCTTATCTATACATATGGAGTCACTAACTCAGGGAAAACCCACACAATTCAAGGTGAGTAGTAAGACTTCACAGGATTCCTGATTGGCTGGTAATGGTATTATTTTTACCTTTTGAGACTCTGAGTTAGGGGAAGAAGGGCACTTGCCTCAGCTGTCCATCATATGCCTCCAGGTACCATCAAGGATGGAGGGATTCTCCCCCGGTCCTTGGTGCTGATCTTCAATAGCCTCCAAGGCCAGCTTCATCCAACACCTGATCTAAAGCCCTTGCTCTCCAATGAGGTAATCTGGCTAGACAGCAAGCAGATCCGACAGGAGGAAATGAAGAAGCTGTCCCTGCTAAATGGAGGCCTCCAAGAGGTAAAGCATTGATATCCATGGCAGTGGGGGCAGGGGGTACAAATCTCGGGGAAGTTTTGTGCTTACCTTCTCCCTGTGCCCCTCCAGGAGGAGCTGTCCACTTCCTTGAAGAGGAGTGTCTACATTGAAAGTCGGATAGGTACCAGCACCAGCTTTGACAGTGGCATTGCTGGGCTCTCTTCTATCAGTCAATGTACCAGCAGTAGCCAGCTGGATGGTATGTACCATGACTGGGCTCTGCCAAGAAATAGTAGGAACTCACTCCCTGTTCCTGATAGCTGCCAGGAGTACAGACCAGAGGTTGCAATCTGAGGTGTGCCTTCCAAAGCCCCTGCAGGCCAAAAGAGAGATGAACTGCTCTAGATTGATGCCCTATACATTGGCTTCTTCCCCAGAAACAAGTCACCGATGGGCACAGCCAGACACTGCCCCAGTACCTGTCCCGGCAGACATTCGCTTCTCCGTCTGGGTCTCGTTCTTTGAGATCTACAACGAACTGCTTTATGACCTATTAGAACCACCTAGCCAACAGCGCAAGAGGCAGACTTTGCGGCTATGCGAGGATCAAAATGGCAATCCCTATGTGAAAGGTAAAGGAACATGGGGGAAGCTGGCATGAACGCTGGAGGGCAACTGGGGAGAGACTGGCAAGAATTGGATGTTCCCATCTTACACCCCTCTCCTTTGGCCCCAGATCTCAACTGGATTCATGTGCAAGATGCTGAGGAGGCCTGGAAGCTCCTGAAAGTGGGTCGTAAGAACCAGAGCTTTGCCAGCACCCACCTCAACCAGAATTCCAGCCGCAGGTGAGTAGATTGTAAGAATAAACTCTTCACTGTGTTCCAGGAAACATTAGTCCTCTGCCTGGTTATGGAAGATGTGCAATGACTTTTTGTTTTTCTTAACTTCCAGTCACAGCATCTTCTCAATCAGGATCCTACACCTTCAGGGGGAAGGAGATATAGTCCCCAAGATCAGCGAGTAAGTTTTTCCATTTAGAAATGTGGGCTTCTTGGCCATACATGATAGTTGAGAAAGCATGGAGGAGATCCTTAGGGGAACTACTTGTTCTCCTTCTTTGGGTACAGAGATTCTTGGTGGGCCATCCCCTTTCCAGAATTACAAAAAGGGCCAGAAGGCTCAACATGTGAGGCCCTTATGTCAGATCCTGTGCATCATTCTAGGCTGTCACTCTGTGATCTGGCTGGCTCAGAACGCTGCAAAGATCAGAAGAGTGGTGAACGGTTGAAGGAAGCAGGAAACATTAACACCTCTCTGCACACCCTGGGCCGCTGTATTGCTGCCCTTCGTCAAAATCAGCAGAACCGGTGAGCTTTTGACTATAAGCCCTGGGCTCAGAAATTTGCTAAGAGACTTCCTGGTCACCAGTGGGGATGGTGCTAGGATACCCAAAGGACTGGTGTTCTGCTCACAGCTCTATTATCTCTGATTCTCTGCCAGGTCAAAGCAGAACCTGGTTCCCTTCCGTGACAGCAAGTTGACTCGAGTGTTCCAAGGTTTCTTCACAGGCCGAGGCCGTTCCTGCATGATTGTCAATGTGAATCCCTGTGCATCTACCTATGATGAAACTCTTCATGTGGCCAAGTTCTCAGCCATTGCTAGCCAGGTGAGAAGCCAGAGGTGTGATGGGTGTGCTCACTTGGAACTAGTAACTCTAAAAAAGCTCCTAGGGACTACTTACGGAGTCAAGTAAGATATCTTTTTTTTCCCTCTAGCTTGTGCATGCCCCACCTATGCAACTGGGATTCCCATCCCTGCACTCGTTCATCAAGGAACATAGTCTTCAGGCACCCCCCAGCTTAGAGAAAGGAGCTAAGGCAGACGCAGGCCTTGATGATGACATTGAAAATGAAACTGACATCTCCATGTATGGCAAAGAGGTGAGAATACAAGAAAGCTTTAGTGTAGCAGCTTAGTAGCTACACATTTTTCCATAGTGCCTTCCAGGTGGGCTTGTGCCTTTTGAGGGCATGAGCATCTGATGACCTCTGACTTGTGTGTCTCTCCTAGGAGCTCCTGCAAGTAGTGGAAGCCATGAAGACACTGCTTTTGAAGGAACGACAGGAAAAGCTGCAGCTGGAGATGCATCTCCGAGATGAAATTTGCAATGAGATGGTAGAACAGATGCAACAGCGGGAACAGTGGTGCAGGTACTAGCTGAGTGACCCCTCTTGCTCTGTCACCTGGGACAGAGGGTGGGAAGTAAGGAGTTAGGTGGAGTTGTGCCTCAAGATCTGTTTCCCAAGTTCACTCCTCGGAACCTTCACTTACTTCTCTTTTCTCCTCTGTTTCTGACAGTGAACATTTGGACACCCAAAAGGAACTATTAGAGGAAATGTATGAAGAAAAACTAAATATCCTCAAGGAGTCACTGACAAGTTTTTACCAAGAAGAGATTCAGGTGAGTTGCCCTGAGCCAGCTCCAATTAGCTGCTCAGATTTCCATCACTAGCTTGCCTGAAGTAAAGCGATTTTATAAACTACTCCAGTAAGGGCAGGAATATAGAACTCCCTTTTCTCTATTACCCATAGTGCTTTGGGTTCAACCTATGTTTGGTGAATTAAGGGTTTAGTTGGCCAGGAAATCGTATTAAGTGCTAACAAAAGGTTTTCAAGGGATCAGTGTCACAAGTGCTTTGTTTGTTCAGTCATCTGTCTTGGCAGTATTTTTCTGGCTCTGCAAAGAATTGTGCTCTCTGCTTCCCTCTTAGGAGCGGGATGAAAAGATTGAAGAGCTAGAAGCTCTCTTGCAGGAAGCCAGACAACAGTCAGTGGCCCATCAGCAATCAGGGTCTGAATTGTCCCTACGGCGGTCACAAAGGTTGGCAGCTTCTGCCTCCACCCAGCAGCTTCAGGAGGTTAAAGCTAAATTACACCAGTGCAAAGCAGAGCTAAACTCCACCACTGAAGGTGAGGAAAGAGACAGGCAGGAAACAACAGTGGTTCAGGGAAGAGCTGTTACTCAAACCCAGGCCCTCTAACTCCTGCTGTAACATAATTTCCTAAATTGCAAGCTACATCCCCCTGACATTTCAATCTAGGATGCACATAGCCTCACTTTTTATATTTGCTGCAAGCTACTGTTAGTTAAAGAGGTTAGTCCAAGGCTAAAACACCCCCCACATATTTTAAATTTCCTGTTTCCTTCCCTCAGAGTTGCATAAGTATCAGAAAATGTTAGAACCACCACCCTCAGCCAAGCCCTTCACCATTGATGTGGACAAGAAGTTAGAAGAGGGCCAGAAGGTAATTACATTTCTCTGTTTACCAAACTCTTACCTAAGGTAATTTCCCACATGCAACACTCTATCACCGGTTCATGTGAAGACAAGATGTTCGTTGTGCACAGTTCGGGAAAGTGGCTATTTCACTCAGCTGACTAGCCTTTCTAATTTTACTTCTCTTCAAATGGCTACCTGACCCCTCCAGATCATTATCCTGGTTGCTCTTGGCTACAATATGATTCCTACTTCCCCTTTTTCAGAATATAAGGTTGTTGCGGACAGAGCTTCAGAAACTTGGTGAGTCTCTCCAATCAGCAGAGAGAGCTTGTTGCCATAGCACTGGGGCAGGAAAACTTCGTCAAGCCTTGACCACTTGTGATGACATCTTAATCAAACAGGTTAGGGCAAATTATATACCCACTTCTCTCCTCCCAGCCCACTCCAATGTATATGTGAGAAAGGAAAGAGGACCAGAAGAAAAAGGTAAAGATTTTTAGGCTGAATTTATAGTAAGAGCAATATATTTGCAAAGTAAAAACAACTATTCTTTGTTAAGCATTTACTAAGTAGCAGGCACTGTGCTAAGTAATTTATAGGCATTTTCTGTCACAGTCACCTTACGGAAGTAGTTACTGTCATATTTCATCTAAAATGCTACTGATTATAAGAAACCATTATTTTATGTACTACTAAGAAAAAAGTAACAATTTAGCTATGACATTTCTCATCAGTAAGATGCATCCAGGCCGGGCGCGGTGGCTCAAGCCTGTAATCCCAGCACTTTGGGAGGCCGAGGCGGGTGGATCACGAGGTCAGGAGATCGAGACCATCCTGGCTAACACAGTGAAACCCCGTCCTTACTAAAAATACAAAAAAAAAAAAAAAAATTTAGCCTGGCATGGTGGCGGGTGCCTGTAGTCCCAGCTACTCGGGAGGCTGAGGCAGCAGAATGGTGTGAACCCAGGAGGCAGAGCTTGCAGTGAGCCGAAATTGCCCCACTGCACTCCAGCCTGGGTGACAGAGCGAGACTCTGTCTCAACAAACAAACATATGTTAGGAGGTAAAAAGGTAACACAAAATTCTGGGAATAAGAATGAAGTCTGGACCCTGAGCTCAGAATGATCCATAGCATCTATTGTGCAAATATATTACAGCAGATATTATAGCATATTACCTCCTGCTGCACATACATGCACAGGCCTGAAACTCTCCAAGAGCACCATAAGAATGATTCCCTTTACCTCATCTAGATAAAGGCTGAAAAAAATGTATTCTGTTGCAGATGGGAGGGAAAAAAATAGACAATTACATTGAAAATTTATTAAAACAGACCAGCTTAAAGTGAGTTTATTCTTGTCTGTATAATCACAAATGTTATTTCCAAATGTCCGTGAAATTATCTATAATCCTAACACCTTGCTTTGCTTTGGTAGGAGTATAGCTAACAATATAGCCATCTTTTGCCCTCAGTAAGGGCTATCAGCAGTTCCAAGCTCTGTGAGATTCTTTTTGCCCTTCTTTTATTCAACTCTAGTAAATTACTTCCAATTTGAAAGCTTTTAGAAGACCCCCAAAACTGTTTTGGAAGATTGTCTCTCTAGAGTAAGTACAAATGGATAGCTCTATTCCATTTAAACCTAATCTCTGACATCAGAATAGGGATCATGCTCAGCAAATCCAAGAGCAAGGTCATTTGTATCCATTGCTCTGACTTCTTCCTAGGGTACTCAGTGCCCTACTGCTAGCTGAGTGTAGAGCGGCAGACTTTCCTCCTTTCTTTCACTCTCAGCAGCACTGAAACTGTTCCTGTAGCATTGCCTGTGCTAAAGTGCTATAAAAGCGACTTTCTTGGGGGCAAAAAAAAATTTTTTTCAGAGAAGAAGGCCAAGATCTATAGCCACTCTCTGGACATAAGTGAGATAGAAGTACTTCTAACTGGCAAGATAATGTCTGTTCCTGCCAGCATTCTGTCAGTTGGCCTCTGAAGGTAATTATACAAGCTGTCCCTATGGAGCTGTTGCCATCTGTAGAAACAAGAAGAGCTGAGGTCCTTGGAACAGACGTGCTGTTCTTTACATGGAGGTAAGGCTTAATTAAGATGGGTCTAACAATGTGCTGGCTTGACAGTAGCCAACTATGGCGTGACAGAAGACAAGTTGAGTGGAGAAACTCTGCGTGTGGGGGTGTTGTTAGCAGAGAGTGAAGCAGGCAGGAAAAAGGGAGCAGGCACCTCGGTGGTAGGAGTCTCGCCTTGGTTCCGAAGCTGTAGGATTTGCCGGAGTAAGGCCTTACCTTCTTCCCGGGTCTGCAACAAAGTCAGGCAAATGTTTCAAAACATGTCCAAGGCTAGTCTCAAAAACAAGTTATTAAGATGCTGATATACAAGTTCCACAGATCAAGGCAGGCAGGTAAGCTTGCTTGTTTTTTTTTTGAGATGGGGTCTCACTGTGTCACCCAGGCTACACTGCAGTGGTGTGATCAAGGCTCACTGCAGCTTCGACCTCCCAGGCTCAAGTGATCCTCTCACCTCAGCCTCCCAAGTAGCCGGGACCACAGGCATGCACCACCAAACCTGGTGAAATTTATTTTTTGTAGAGACAAGGTCTCCCTTTTTTGTCCAGGCTCATCTTGAACTCCTGGGCACAAGCAATCCTCCTGCCTCAGCCTCCCAAAGTGTTGGGATTATAGGCGTGAGCCACTGCGCCTGGCCAAGGTAGGCTTTCCCTTAAGTATCTTATGTTCTAGCCTAAAATTCAAACCTTTTATTAAAGAACTGATACTCACATCATTGAATGCACAACACTTTTGTGCACAAGTTGAAGCTTCATCCCACAGTTTGCACTTAAAATAGTACTGGGCCAGATAGCGAAAAGCAGTGCTTTCCTCTAAGTGTTCTACTATTTCCTAGAAAGAGAAAGCAAAATGACTGAGGTGACAGTAATAATATCAGCAATACAATTCTCACGCTATGATACATACCCCACAGGAATAGATATCTTGGATATATTTGATGTAACACTGGGCAGCCTGTTCTGACTCAGTCAACTGTTCATGAAGCCTACAAAAGAAACTGGTCTTTAAGTACCAATGAAATCCCAAAGCAACTTAGTGATTAAAAAAAGTAAAAGTACGGCCAAAAAAAACAATACATAGGTAAGTATCAATTTTAACATAAATGACACTCTTGGAACTAGAATAGTATTAGATGTGATAGTTACTGTTATCAAAGCTTAGAATAATTACTCTGCTAATGATGGAAGGAGAGTTAGTAAACAGTAATACCTAAGCTAGATAATACATCCTTGCAAAAATTATCTAGTAATACCCAGAGTAAGGTGGCTCGTGCCTGTAATCCCAGTACTTTGGGAGGCCAAGGAGAGCAGATCACTTGAGGTCAGGAGTTCGAGACCAGCATGGTCAACAAGGTGAAACCTCATCTCTACTAAAAATACAAAAATTAGCCAGGCGTTGTGACACATGCCTGTAATCCCACCTACTCAGGAGGCTGGAGCACGAGAATTGCTTGAAGTCGGGAGGTGGAGGTTGCAGTGAGCCAAGATCACACCACTACACTCCAGCCTGGACCACAGAGCGTGACTCTGACTCAAAAAAAAAAAAAAAAAAGTAGATCGGTGTAAACAGTGGGTATTTTATACACTATACAAGT